TGAACTATAAATTACAGCAACTACAACTCCCAAATGTCAAGGTATATTTTCCCCAAGCTCCACCACTGTTCACATTTGGGCATATTGAGTATGTGTCAAGTTTGGTCCAGATCCATCATTGTTTGAGTCCACAGTGCTCTCTGGAGGTAGGTGAACTACAACTCCAAACTCAAGGTCAATGCCCACCACACCCTTTCAGTATTTTCTGTTGGCCATGGGAGTTCTGTGTGCCAAGTTTGGATCAATTCCATCGTTAGTGGAGTTCAGATTCCTCTTTGATTGTAGGTGAACTATAAATCCCAGTAACCACAACTCCCAAATGTCAAGGTCTATTTTTCCCAAGCAGTATTCACATTTGGGCATATTGAATATTCATGCCAAGTTGGTCCAGATCCATCATTGTTAAGAGTCCATAGTGCTCTCTGGATGTAGGTGAACTACAACTCCCAAATGACAAAATGACTCCCCCTTCCCCAATCTCACCAGTATTCAAATTTCGGCATATTGGGTATTTGTGTCAAATTTGGTCCAGCGAATGAAAATACATCCTACATATCAGGTATTACATCACGATTCATGATGGGAGCAAAATGACAGTTATGAAGTAGTAATGAAAATAATGTTATGGTTAGGGGTCACCACAACATGAAGAACTGTACTAAAGGGTCACAGCATTAGGAAGGTTGAGAACCACTGGTTTAGAATGTTCAGGTTGAAACAGGATGAGTTAGGGAATGTCAGTCAAGGAATGACTGTAAGAGAGAAGTGTTGAATGAACCTTGTGTATAGAAGTCTGCTTGAGTGCAGACGCTCATGTTAGGAAGTTAGAAACTAGCAAGGCTTGTGTTTTATTTGAGAGTAGACTGTTATTAAGGAGAGCTATATAAAGCTGAAAGCATCAAAGAGAAACAAAATATTTACATTTACGTACCCAGCAATCATTCATTACCAAATAAACTCTGCAACCCCGATTAGGTTGTGATCCTTACAATTCATTATCTAAACCCCGATGGTCAGTGATCCTAACAGGATCCATTATCCCCAATACAAAGTTCATATTGTGCCACAAAGCATAGTCACAGTCTGTTGTTGTTGTTGTTCATTCGTTCAGTCGTCTCCGACTCTTCGTGACCTCATGGACCAGCCCACGCTCCTCGCTTTCGGCCATCAGAGTGGTGTCATCTGCATATCTGAGGTTGTTAATGTTTCTTCCAGCAATTTTCACCCCAGCTTTGCATTCATCCAGCCCCGCACATCGCATGATGTGTTCTGCATACAAGTTAAAAAGGTTGGGTGAGAGGATGCAGCCTTGCCATATGCCTTTCCCAATCTTGAACCAGTCTGTTGTTCCGTGGTCTGTTCTTACTGTTACTACTTGGTCATTATACAGGTTCCTTGGGAGACAGACAAGGTGACTTGGTATCTCCATACCACCAATAACTTGCCACAATATATGATGATCCACACAGTCAAAGGCTTTAGAATAGTCAATGAAGCAGAAGTAGATGTTTTTCTGAAACTCCCTGCCTTTCTCCATTATCCAGCGGACATTGGCAATCTGGTCTCTCGTTCCTCTGCCTTTTCTAAACCCAGCTTGAACATCTGGCAACTCTCGCTCCATGTATTGCTGGAGTCTTCCTTGCAGGATCTTGAGCATTACTTTACTGGCATGAGAAATAAGGGCCACTGTACGGAAGGTTGAGCAGTCTTTCGCATTTCCCTTTTTTGGTATGGGGATATAAGTTGATTTTTTCCAGTCTGATGGCCATTCTTGTGTTTTCCATATTTGCTGGCAAATGGCATGCATCACCTAGACAGCATCATCTTTTAAGATTTTAAACAGTTCAGCTGGGATCCCGTCGTCTCCTGCTGCCTTGTTGTTAGCAATGCTTCTTAAGGCCCATTCAACCTCACTCCTCAGGATGCCTGGTTCTAATTCATTCACCACACCGTCGAAACTATCCTTGATATTATTATCCTTCCCATACAGATCTTCTGTATATCTTTATTCTGTATATCCCTGCCATCTTTGTTTCTTATCATGCCAATTTTTGCCTGAAATTTACCTCCAATGTTTCTAATTTTCTGGAAGAGGTCTCTTGTACTTCCTATTCTGTTGTCTTCTTCCACTTCCATGCATTGCTTATTTAAAAATAGTTCCTTATCTCTTCTGGCTAACCTCTGGAATTGCGCATTTAACTGGGCATATCTCCCCTTATCCCTGTTTCCTTTTGCTTTCCTCCTTTCTTGGGCTACTTCCAGTGTCTCAGCAGACAACCATTTTGCCTTCTTGGGTTTCTTTTTCTTTGGGACGTACTTTGTTGCCGCCTCCTGAACAATGTCTCGGACTTCTGTCCATAGGTCTTCTGGGACTCTGTTTACTAAATCTAGTCCTTCAAATCTGTTCTTCACTTCCACTGTATATTCGCTAGGAATGTTAGTGAGATCATATCTAACTGGTCTGTGTATTTTCCCTGATCTCTTTAGTTTTATTCTAAATTGGGCAATAAGAAGTTCGTGATCTGAGCTACAGTCAGCCCCAGGTCTTGTTTTCACCGACTGGATGGATGTCCGCCACCTTTGGCTGCAAAGGATGTAGTCAATCTGATTTCGGTGTTGACCATCTGGTGAGGTCCATGTATAAAGCCGTCTTTTAGGTTGTTGGAAGAGAGTATTCGTTATACACAGCGAGTTTTCCTGGCAAAATTATATCAGCCTGCGTCCCGCTTCATTTTGTTCTCCCAGACCATGCTTGCCTGTGATCCCAGTTGTCATTTGACTTCCCACCTTGGCATTCCAGTCTCCTGTAATGAAAATAATGTCTCTTTTTGGTGTATTATCCAGTAGGTCCTGCAGATCCTCATAGAACTGATCTACTTCTGCTTCTTCAGCAGCTGTGGTTGGGGCATATATTTGGATCACTGTGATGTTGAAAGGCTTTCCTTGAACTCGAATTGAGATCATTCTGTCATTTTTTGGGTTGTATCCAAGCACTGCTTTAGCTAATTTCTTATTAATTATGAAGGCTACTCCATTTCTTCGATGTTCCTCTTGTCCGCAGTAGTAGATCTGGTGGTCATCTGATGTGAAGTGGCCCATTCCAGTCCATTTCAGTTCGCTGACCCCCAGAATGTCTATCTTTAGTCTTGACATCTCACCAATAACAACATCCAATTTGCCCTGGCTCATAGATCTTACATTCCAGGTTCCTATGGTGTGTTGATCTTTAGAGCATCAGATTCGTCGTTCACCTCCAGTACCGTCGGCTGCTAGCCTTCCTTTCGGCTTTGAGCTAGCTGCGTCATCACATCTGGGGCTAGTTGAATTTATCCTCTGCTCCTCCCCAGTAGCATTTTGGCCATCTTCCGACCTGGGAGTCCCATCTTCCAATGGCATACCGACATATCTCTGGTTGTACTGGTCCATTTAGTTTTCTTGGCAAGGATACTGTAGTGGTTTGCCATTGCCTTCCCCAGGATCACGCTTGGTCTGACCTCTCTGCCACAACCGTCCCGTCTTGGGTGGCCCTTCACGGTTTCGCTCATGACATCATTGAGGTGCTCAAGCTCCAGCGCCCCGACAAGGCGGCGACCCTTTGCTGGAGCACAGTCTGTTACAGGGTTGCAATGATGGTAAAACGGGGAGGACAGATATGTACAACCCTCTTTAACAGTGTTTCTCAACCTTACTAATGCCACAACCTCTTAATACAGTTCCTCATCTGGTGGTGACCCCCAACCATAAAATTATTTTCGTTGCTACTTCATAACTGTAATATTGCTACTGTTATGAATCATAATGTAAATATCTGTTATGCAGAATGTATTTTCATTCACTAGACCAAATTTGGCACAAATACCCGATACCCGCCAATTTGAATACTGGTGGGGTTGGGGGTATTGATTTTGTCATTTGGGAGTTGTAGTTGCTTGGATTTATAGTTCACATACAATCAAGGAGCATTCTGAACTCCACCAATGAGGGAATTCAACCAAACTTGGCACACAGAACTCACATGACCGACAGAAAATACTGGAAGTGTTTGGTGGGCACTGACCTTGAGTTTTAGAGTTGTAGTCCACCTACATCCAGAGAGCACTGTCGACTCAAACAATTATGGATCTAGACCAATACTCAATATGCCCAAATGTTAACACTGGTAGAGTTTGAGGAAAATAGACCTTCACATTTGGGAGTTGTAGTTTCTGGGATTTATAGTTCACCTACAATCAAAGAGCACTCTGAACTCCACCAACAACAGAATTGGGCCAAACTTCCTACACAGAACACCCATGCCTTGAAGGGACATGCTGGTGCACACCTCCCTCTGTCTTCGCACACTCTCCCTCATCCACACATGTGCACCATGTTGCCATGTGCCAAGCACGCCTGCTCCCCCCTCCCCACTTGGAGTCTCAGAAAAGTCCTCCCCTTGGCTGATTTACTGTCTGTTTCCAAAAAGGAAGAGAAGGGCAGGTGGAGTGATCTTCAGCTTTCTCTGCCAAAGAAGTTCCTAAGACCATAAGAAATATATGTTTTCTAATGGTCTTTGGCAACCCCTCTGAACCCCCCTCACAACCCTCCCAGGGGTCCTGATCCCCAGGTTGAGAAACACTAATCTACAATGTTATGGAAGAGAGGCAGGCTATATTGTTTATTATATTAATTTGTATCCTACGCCTTTCACAAGAATAAGTACTTAAGGCAGTAGTTGTATTCAAAGTAAATAATGTGCTTGGGAGAGAGAAGCTTTACTAATGGCCTCTTGCTAGTTTGTGGCCATGGAATATAAAGCAATATTTTCTAATTGGTTCAGAAAACAGAGTGGTGGCCACATACAGAGAATTATTCTATTGTAGGTAAGAGTATGAAAAGAGGCAGTTCAGGTACCAAAATAACTTCAGTCGACTGGAAAAATGGGGCAAGGGCCTATGAAGAAGGATACAGGGCAAGAAATGACATTTGTGCAAAACAGGCCTTGAGGGAGCAGCATCTCTTACTTCTTTCCATCTTTGATCCAAGTGAGACTGGCAGGCGGGTTGCTGCTTCCCGATTTACAGTTCAGGGTCACCAACTGGCCTCGTCTCAACTCTTTGTCTGTCGTTGCAATCGTTGCATGTAGAGGTGGGACTAGGGAATAAAGCAGTGTGAGAAAGTAGCAAACTACATAGCAAATTTCATAAAATCACAGAGTTGTAAGAGATCGTATGGGCCACCCAGTCCAACCCCCTGCCATGCATGAAAGGCACAAAGTACCCCTGACAGATGGCCATCCAGTCTCTGTTTACAAGCCTTAAAGGAGGGAGCTTCCACCACACTCTGAAGCAGAGAGTTCCACTGTTGAACGGTTCTTACAGTCAGGAAGTTATTCCTAATGTTCAAGTGGAATCTCCTTTCCTGTAATTTGAACCCATTGCTTCTAATCCTAGTTTGCTCCAAATCCTAGTTTCCTCATCCTTATCCTTGTTTCCAAATACTTTCCTTATCCTAGTTTCCAAATCCTAGTTTCCTCATCATTATGCCAGCCTTTCAAATATTTATACATTTAATGGCCTTGCTGTCCCAAACACTATCCTCCCCAGTCACTCAATTTTCAGTTCCCATCACTTCACTCATGGAGCTAAACTTAACACTGGCAGGAGTGGGGGGGAAATACGGGGCACGGCTCTTCAGGACTAGACCTTTTCATAAATACAAAGGAGGGGGGGTCTCTTAATTATTTGTTTCTCTCATGCCATAAGCCCATTGCATGTGGAAAGCTACCACGGCAGGATGAAAATTTTCAAAGCAAAGTGTGTTAACTTTTAAGTCCTTGCAAAGCACAGAGGTCAAGCTCAGCAGTCCCTGCAGGTTGACAGAGGGCAGGACCAAGGACAGCTCACTGTGGATTTGCATAGGACACACACAATCAAGCTCAACAGAAGGCACTCAGGCACAATGTGCCCAAATGTGGATCTAGAAATGGTCCAGAGCAAATGATAAACTTTCAACAGATCTAAAGCACTATGTTTCAATTCAGTGTTTCTCAACCTTCCTAATGCTGTGACCCCTTAATACAGTTCATGTTGTGGAGACCCAAAACCATAACATTATTTTTGTTGCTACTTCATAACTGTAATTTTGCTACTGTTATGAATCATAATATAAATATCTGATATGCAGCATGTATTTTCAACCCACCAGTCTGAATACTGGTGGGTTGGGGGGGGGGGGTATTGATTTTGTCATTTGGGAGTTGCAGTTGCTGGGATTTATAGTTCACCTACAATCAAAGAGCATTCAGACCTCCACCAATTATGGAATTGAACCATACTTAGAACACATACGTCCAAGTCTGAGTACTGGTGGGTTGGGGGAGGGCATTGATTTTGTCATTTGGGAGTTGTAGTTGCTGGGATTTATAGTTCACCTACAATCAAAGAGCATTCAGAACTCCACCAATTAAGGAATTGAACCATACTTAGCACATAGAACTCCCATGACCCAACAGAAAATACTGGAAAGATTTGGTGGGTTTGTTAAGGGACTAGAGTTGTAGTTCACTTACATCCAGAGAGCACTGGACTCAAGCAATGCTGGATCTGGACCCAACTTGGCATGAATACTCAATATGTCCAAATGTGAACACTGGTGGAGTTTGGGGAAAAGAGACCCCAACATTTGGTAGTTATAGTTGCTGGGATTTATAGTTCACCTACAATCAAAAAGCATTCTGAACCCCATCAATGATAGAATTGGGCCAAACTTCCCACACAGAACTCCCAAAATACTATGTTTTCTGATGGCGTTTGGTGACCCCTCTGACATCCCCTCACAACCCCTCCCCAGGGGTCCTAACCCACAGGTTGAGAAATGCTGTTTCAATGTCAACTACATAGAATCATGGGGTTAATAGTTTGTTAAGGGACTAGAACTCTCTGGCCAATAATTCTAAATGTGTTTCCCAAAGCTGCAAATCATAGGTTTTCATAGCAGTTAAAGCAGTCACAAAAAGGAAAAGAAGTGCATTCTCTCAATTTGGCATTTAAACTGGAGGGAAGTGCCTCCAAGGGAAGGGCCTCCAAGGGCCACACTAGAAGCACAGCAAATGGTACAATTTGACCCCTGTCCTAGACAGTTGGGACCGCTGGTATAGAACAGTCATCAATTCGATTTCCAGAAGCTCCTGACATCCTCAGGATAAAAGGAGATGGGCAGAGCTATCCCTTCAGGGTGTGCACTTGAAACTGCTCCTGGTTCCTGGGATCCCCTGCTCATGGGAGTATCTGATGAGGAGTGACATCTGAGATTCTCTCAAGGGATGGCCCATACAAACCGCCTAACTCAATCCTCTCCTTCCCAGATGGGAGGGCTGCAAATTCTGAGCCATGATATAGGCTTTGTCTGAGCATGGAGATTATGTATGTTGAGGCTTACACTGGACATGAAGAAGAGTATATGCAGTGAGTGCTGGGGTTCTGGAAGCACCGGTAGCATTGCAACGGTAGGTAGCCATGTTGTCACTGGGCGTAAGGGTCAGGCTCAGCTCCCTGGAAACAATATTCCCTGATGTCCTTGAGGTTATTCCATCCCTTACACTCTTGATTTCCTGCAGAAGGAATGACACTTGTGTTGAAGGTAGCAAAAAAGGTATGTTCTATGCTATCTGCTGGATCTAGGAAACCAGGATAAAGAAGAGGACAACAAGCCTGGCTGCAGGACAATAATAATCAAAGGTCACTTTTCTGACATTTCCAGTGTAAAAATATCAATCCTCCTAAGACCACTTTCTGGGAGAACAAAGCATGAAGATGGACACATCGCACAGACAATTGAAACAAAAGAAGAATGGCCACAAAGTCTCTTCCAACTCTATGAGTCTATGAAATATATGGGTCCACAAATGCCAAAGGTGTTTCTAATAGGAAATCGAGACACTGTAATATTTATTTATTTATTTACAACATTTATATGCCGCCCTTTTTTATTGTTCTTATACCCCGCTACCATCTCCCGCAGGACTCGGTGCAGCTTACAAGAGGCCAAGCCCCACAACATCACAAAACAACCACAACAAAACAATGAATAACTTATAAAAGCAAAAAACAATACAATAATAACACGACACTTTTTAAAAACATGAGGCAGGGCCAAATGTGAACATTTAAAGTTAAAAACTGGGGAGTTCAAGGGAGATAGGAGGAGTGTTTTGGGATAGGAAGACGTGCAGACAATTCTAAATCTATATATATATTAAAATGCTCTGGTCATAATGAGTACCTTAAAAACAAAAGAACCAGTGAACAAAATCACACCAAATTTGGCAACAAAACATCTCACAACACAAGGAGTGACCATCACTAAAAAAAAATATGATTTTGTCATTTGGGAGTTGTAGTTGCTGGGATTTATAGTTCACCTACAATCAAAGAGCATTCTGAACTCCATCAACGATGGAATTGAACCAAACGTGGCGCACAGAACTCCCATGACCAACAGAAAATACTGGAAAGGTTTGGTGGGCACTGACCTTGACTTTGGGAGTTGTAGTTCACCTACATCCAGAGTGCACTGTGGACTCAAACAATGATGGATCTGGGCCAAACTTGGCACAAGCACTCAATATGCCCAAATATGAACACAGATGGAATTTGGGGGAAATAGACCTTGACATTTGGGAGTTGTAGTCACTGGGATTCACAGTTCACCTACAATCAAAGAGCATTCAGAACCCCACGAACGACAGAATAGGGGTAAACTTCCCACACAGAACCCCCATGACCATCAGAAAATACTTAAGGTCATCCAGTCCAACTCCCTTCATCAGGGCAAGAAAACATAATCAAAGTCCTCCTGACAAAAAGCCATCCAGCCATAGATAGATAGATAGATAGATAGATAGATAGATAGATAGATAGATAGAGATATGATTCACACACACACACACACACACAGATATAGTATCATAGATTTGAAAGGGACCCTTAAAGAAGGACAATGATATGTTGCATGTTCCAGGGTGGGCAAACCAGACGCTCTCTACATCAACACTGACAAAGAAACAACAACAAATATTGTTTACCCACAACCATCAAGACATTACATATATTAGAAACCAACACTTTCTCATTACTTTATTTTCCAGATCAACAGACTGGGCCACAGGAACGCGTGGCAGGGGATAGCTAGTCTCTCATAAAGTGCATTAAGGACATATTGCTTAGGATTCCTTATTCTGGGAAGGCACACTGGAACATCCACATTTTCAAGCTCCTTCTAAAGACTGCCAGTGTTGGGGCCTGCCTGATGTCCTTAGGGAGGGAGTTCAAGAGTTGCGGGGCCACCACCGAGAAGGCCCTGTCCCTCGTTCCCACCAATCACGCCCTTCTCACCCCAAAGGGGACTCAGAGCAGCTTACAAGTAAAAACTAAATACAATATATTATATTATTACCATTGCACAATATTAATATTATATATTACCTTGAACTATAACATTATACTGTAATATTATTAGTAATATTACTTTTAATACAAAATATATAATTATAATATCATATTATTAGTAGTATTATATTGTATTACATTATAATGTTATCAATATTATAATACATCCAATCAGAGAGAGGCAATCACTCATCATGGCTACATCATATGCCACGAAGAACCATTATCTTTATTACAATGCCAGCAATTACTAAAAAGACAGAATTATTTTTAATTTGAATTTAACTAATGACCAATGTTGTTAGAGTATAAGTGCTTTTAAAATTGCTGAAAGGCTCCATGGATGGAAACATAAACATTTACAATCTATCTTTCAAGTGTAAAAAAAAAAGATTTTACTGCTTTGGAATCCACAAACATGCACTTTATATATTCCAACTTCCAAATAAACATGGTTTTGGAAATACGGTCAGGTTAAAAAGGTAAAGGTAAAGGTTTCTCCTGACATTAAGTCTAGTCGTGTTTGACTCTGTGGGGTGGTGCTCATCTCCATTTCTAAGCTGAAGAACTATTGTTGTCCATAGATGCCTCCAAGGTCATGTGGCCAGCATGTCTGCATGGAGCACCGTTATCTTCCCGCAGAAGCGGTACCTATTGATCTATTCACATTTGCATGTTTTCAAACTGCTAGGTTGGCAGAAGCTGGGACTAACAGTGGGAACTCACCCCACTCCCCGGATTCAAACCGCCAATCTTCGGTCAGCAAGTTCAACAGCCCAGTGGTTTAACCTGCTGCACCACCAGGGGCCCCCTTATAGTCAGGTTATATAAGTGTATATGCCTAGCCCTCATTCATATCAAAAGTAACAATATCTTCCCTTTCTTTATACTTATTTAAAATTAAGACTTTTCTTTTTAAACAGATGGAAACATATTACTGGATACTCTGCTAGGGTATCCAGTAATATGAAGTCTGCCAGTGTCATGAATACATTGTTTGGAAACACCGAGGGCTTTTTTAAGAACATAGAAATGCTAGAATCCCAGTTATTCAGGCTAGAGAGCTGTGAAATCAGCAAACTTTGTTTGTTTTCAAAGATCAGAAGACTGTTTGAAAGAGTGTTCTGCTCCCAGACTGATGCACAGAAGCCATATCTGCAGGGTCTGTCTTGTTTCGGAAAGATGCAGATTACATTTGATTGAAAGCAGCCATATGTAGTTACCCTGGCAATGGAGCAGGGAAAGTTCCATGTTCAGAACAGGTGGAGCGTTGCCATTCTGTGGGCTTCCCAGCATCGCATCTATTCCATTTTTTCTCGCTCCCTTCTTCAAGCCAAAAACAAGAGTTACTCACATCCCACTCACCTGCTTTCCCAGGCAGGGCTTCAATAGTCCACTTTTGCCAGGAGACAGCAGTTGTTGCTGCCCACATGTTGCTGTGGCTCCTCCTATGTTTGTACAGGTCACCTTCAGGGTAGAAAAACACAGCTTGAGCTGTAATGCAAGACCTGCTCCAAGGTAGGCATACTGCACAAATGCTCTCCTTTTGATATCAGGGCCCATCCAGACAGTACTTCTATCCCAGGAGCTCCCGTAACAAACAGGAGGGTGGCCAAATGCCATTCCCTGTAAATGGGGAAGCAATAGCTACAAAACGGCAAAAAACACAAGATTTTCAAGTGCGGGAATATCCTGAACATGAGCCGAAAATCCACATCTTCAAATGTCTGAATGCCCCTGCACTCAGAAATCGTGGGATTTTATATCTGGGTTTGTTCCTGGGTTTTAGATATCTGTTCCTAATGGGTCAGTTCCTAAAAAGAAGGTGATAGTTGAGTAGAAGGTGAAAACTTGCTTTGTGTGCCAGAAATTTCATGAAACATGTGGAGGGCACATTTTCTCTAGCCAGGACAAAGTTGTGGCCCTCTGGTCAACGTTGTACATCTTGTTGCAATAAGAGCAATCAGGAACAACACCCTGTATGCACAGATGGCCCTGCAGCTTATATAACCCAGGAACAGAACTTATACAAATATTCGCAGTGGCCATCTTGGATGCTGCAAAATCCCACAATGAAACATCAAGTGTGGAGGCAGAAATCCCGGGACCAACAGGCCTGTATCTGGATATCTTCTTAGGTCCTGAGGGTTTTGGTTTTTTTTTTTTTTTTGTTATTGTTATTTTGCCCCTGACTAAAGCACGCAATCTAGTGCTGTTGGGAACCAACCCCTAGATTCACTGGTTAAACGTGTGTCCCGAAAACAGGAACAGAGCACAACAGATGGTTGCTTCCAGACTCACACAGGATCGGAAGATATTAAGCCAAAATAAGACAGCAAGTCCTCTGTAAATGTATAAAACAGGAGTCCCCAAACTAAGGCCCAAGGGCCAGATACAACCCTCCAAGGTCATTTACCCGGCCCTCACTCAGGGTCAACCTAAGCCTGAAAAGACTTGAAAGCACACAACAACAACAACAACAACAACAACAACAACAACAAGCCTATCTCATCAGCCAAAAGCAGGCCCACACTTCCCCATCTGAAATACTAATAAGTTTATATTTGTGGTTTACTTTCTTCACTCATGTATTTTCATCCCAACCAGGCCCCAAGATAATTGTTTGGATTCAGAAGAAACCAAAGTGGAATAAGCTGTAATACTATTTCACCCATATATCAATTTGCCCTGTAAAGTTGCAAACTTGCTTTAGAAGTGATTGAAGCCAATCTGCACTTTAAGAGGTCATGTTTTGTTTGACCCTGAGACTTCTAAGCATTGCTTGGATTGCTCAACCACCTCTCTTATGCATTCAGCTGTTTCTGAAAGAAACAAACATATGAGCCATACAGGAACACAGGAATGACAATTGGATGATGGACTGCAACTCCCAGCATTCCTCACCACTGACTATGGTACTACATACATCAGATTCGATAGTGTAATCATTCCTCCATGGGCTGCCTGCAAGAGGAAATTTTAATGTTTGTATATATTTATAATTTTATGTCCCGGCATTAAATGTTTGCCGTATATATGTTGTGCTTCGCCCTGAGACCCCTGCAGGGTGAGAAGGGTGGAACATAAATGTTTTAAATAAATCTATATAAATAAAAATATAATGTTCGTTTGTGGGATTAACATAATTCAAAAACCACTGGACAGATTGAGACTAAATTTGGACAAAGTACACCAATGAGTGACCATCACTCCTAAAAACACTGAAAAACACAACAGAGGAGACTTAAAAAGCAAAAAATGCTTCACAACGCATGTGCAAAACCACATATATACACAAACACACATATATACAAACATCTACACACACATATACACATATATAAAAACAAAAACTCATATACACAGACTGGGCCACAGCAAAGTGTGGCAGGGGGCGGCTAGTAAATAATAAATATGGCTGCTGGGAATTGCAGTCTAAAAACATTTGGAAGGGCATGCCTTTCCCGCAATAAAGCAAAATGTGGATGAGCCTTTTGGGAAGAAGATACAACTGCTTCTGGGCAAGGACCAGTAGAGTTAACTCCATGCAAGTGTTTGAGACAGGAAATGAACTGAGTACAACTGTTGTGACAGACACTTTGTATAGTATTTGGGCACCAGTCCCCTTTGTCTCCCCATGCAGAGACATGAGAGAAGCCTCCCATAAGTATGGTAAAACATCAAAATATCCAGGCATCCCCTAGGCAACGTCCTTACAAATGGCCAATTCTATCACACCAGAAGCAACCTGCAGTTTCTCAAGTTGCTCCTGACACAAAAGCAAAAGTCCCCAAATATTTGCCATCAATAAACTAGGCAAAGCAGACCAAAGGAAAAAAGATACCTTATACCACTCAAGACGAGGTGGAGGGTTACCACCGCTGGCAAAACAGGTGAGTTTGACTTCATTACCAGCTCGGAAACATGTTTCTAGAGGTGGCACATCAATCCAGATTTTCTGAGGTGGATCTAAGGAACAAGGAAGACCAAGGGGAGGAAAAAATAGCAGAATGGGCTCAAAACATGTTGAAACACATGCTGCCAGTGCCCCTTGCCGACCCTTTCTCATCCCTGTACTCATGCTCACACATTACTCTGAGGGCCACACTAGCAGTCTTGGTGTACATTATGGCTTCATTGAAAGCCTCACAGATCAGCGATAGACCATTGTCTTCTCGATGTACGACATATGTCAGGTTCGATACTGTAATCATTCCTCCATGGGCTGCCTGAAAGAGGAAGGCGTACTTCACTCAGTGCCATTGTGCCAATTAGATCTCTAAACCTTTTGACTGATTTTTTTCATTACTTGCTCATATTGCTTACCTCTGAGTTGGTGACCTCAGTGGCATTGAGCTCCCTCCAGCCCAGCCACCAGCGTACGAAAACTGGTGGGTTGCTGGGTGAAGTAAAACAAGACAGAGAAATCTCCTTCTCCTCTTGAGTGCTGCTTGAGCCAATGATTTTCACCTGTTCAGGAGGAACTGACATAAAGAAACACATGTGGGAAGAGATCATTCAGCCATTGTTGGACCCTACTCCCATAAATGAACTTTTATAAATAAACTCCCAAAGCAGTTACGATACTCCCAACTTAAGAACTGAAAACGTAACATTGGTGGACAGGAAAAGAGATTTAAAGATGGGCTTAAAGCCAACCTTAAAAACTGTGGCATAGACACAGAGAACTGGGAAGCCCTGGCCCTTGAGTGCTCTAACTGGAGGTCAGCTGTGACCAGCAGTGCTGCAAAATTCAAAGAGGCATGAATGCAGGACGAAAGGGAGAAACGTGCCAAGAGGAAGGTGCATCAAGCCAACCCTGATCAGGACTGCCTTCCTCCTGGAAACCTATGTTCTCACTTACAGATCAAGAATAGGGCTCCACAGTCACCTACAAACCCACTTCCAAGACAATGAACTTGGAGAACCATCATCCTTGGGCTATGAGGAATTGCTTAAGTAAATGAGATAGAGGTACCAGTTTATTTATTTATTATTATTTATTTAAAAGTTTTGTATACCGACCTTCTCACCTCTCTTGAGGGACTCAGACCGGTTTCCAAACATAATATCACATACAGTCAATAAAACATCATAATTCATATTACAGTAAAACATTAAAACATCAATTACATACAATAACTACAATGGTCAGTCGTCACACTGGTCAGTTCCTCCATAGTTTCCATTTTCTATTTTTTCCTCTTAATCCCTTAGTGAAGAGTTTCTCAAACTGTGCCCCTTCGGATGTTTTGGACTTCAGCTCCCACAATTCCTAACAGCTGGTAAACTGGCTGGGATTCCTGGGAACTGAAGTCCAAAACACCTGGAGGAGCACAGTTTGAGAAATGCTGCCTTAGTGCATCTGTGATTGTAAAAAAAATGAGGGAGAAAAGCCAAAAGCCGTTTTTTGCTTTGGGAATCCAGGCTTTCCTGGATTCCCAATGACAAAATTTTAGCACACCTTTACACAGGAAGGGTGTGTAATCATTGCTCTGAGAGGCCTTGTGGAGTAGTTATAAGCAGACTAGCTTTCTGCGGAAAAATAAACCCTTTGGAGGGGAAAACTAGAAAT